AAAAAAAAAAACAGCAACGGTATCTTAGATTTCATTCTGTTTGCAGTAGGGAGCTGGAACCTAGAGGTGCTGTACCACTGTTCTACTCCAAAAGGTCTGGGGCGCTGGGGGAGGGCATCTGAGCCAGCCCCGGACCTGGCTCCCTCTGGGGCTCCTGCTGCTTTCATGTTCTCTCCCATTTCAGCAGTTTTCTCAGATCCTTCCACGGGGTGGCGCCTGGATCCCGGGTGGCCACGGTGGGAGCTGACGCCCTGGAGATCAGTCCTGCTCCTCTGTTCTCTTTCTTCCTCTTTCTCTGGGCCTCCAGCTCCATCCCTTTTCCTGGAAACTCTTATCAAGCTTCAGTTGTTCTCTGTGGCATTCCAGAGGCGGAAGAACAGGCAGAGAGCTTAAAGTCCAAGGCCGCTGCCCACCCCAGTCAGATTCCTTCACAATGAGCCCTTTCCAGTTCTCACCTGCATACCTCAGTGACAGTAAACTCATTGCTCACTTACTTTTCTCATTGCTGAGACAAAATACCCCACACCCAACTTTGAAGGAGGAAAGGTTTATTTAGCTCATGGTTTGTAGAGGTTTCAGTCCATCATTGGCTGGCTCCAGGGCAGGGTGGCTTTGCAGAGGAGAAGGGTTCATGGGGGACAGAAGACAGCAAAAGCAACAAGGGAGGGAGAAGCCCCTTATATTGTATCCAGGCTACTGGGATTAGGGTACTGCCAAACCAATCAGTGGACTGACTTAGTAATCACACACACTTTTTTCTTTTTGTCTTTTTGAGACAGGGTCTCACTATGTAGCTCAGGCTGGCCTTGAGCTCACTTTGTAGCCCAGGCTGGTCTCGAACTCACAAGGATCCTCCTGCCTCAGCCTCCAGAGTGCTGGGATTACAGGCGTGCGCCACCACGCCTGGCTTTCATACTCCCTTAATTCTACCATTGCACCTCGAATCAATCACACACTGTAGATCCAGCCACATCTGAAAAAGCCCCATCTATGACTGCATGAGGCTTTAGGAGACATCTAGACCCAAAGCCATAACAGACTATTTATTTTTTGGTACCAGGAATCGAACTCAGGACCTTGCACTTGCCTGGCAGGCACTGTACCGCTGAGCTGTATCCCCAGCCCCAGACTCACATTTAGAATGGGCCTTATGTGATGCTTTTGAAACCCTATGCAAGTGGATAAGGTCAACAGTACCCCAGGGTCGGAGAAGGCTCTTGTGGATTAGGCCAAGCAATACGTCTCATCTCTCCAGGCACAGATACGGACATGACCTCTATCAGAGCCAGTGCTTTCCCAAGAAAAGTCAGCAGGGCTTTCTGGTTTTCTTTGTTGGTTTTTTTTTTGTTGTTTGTTTCTCTTCCGGTACCAGGAATCGAACTCATGACCTTGTGCTTGCCAGGCAGGCGCTTTGCTGCTGAGCTAAATCCCCAGCCCTCAGCAGGGCTTTCTGGGGAGACTTCTGGAGTATTGAAAGATATTTTCCTTTACCCTGAGTTATGTGTTGAGTGGATGTGAGGACCAGAAATGAAGCAGCTGTCATCACCAAAAGGGATTCCGAGGGTGAAATCGACACACAGAAGAAGGCAAAGCCCAGAGATTTTGCACAGAAATAGAAGCCTGTCGGTGTTAAGAGCTATTAACTACTATGTAACAAATCACAAATCGCCCCCACTGAGCAGTTTTCTTTTTTTTTTTTTTGCAGTACTGGGGATTGAACTCAGGACCTTGCACTTGCCAAGCAGGCGCTTATGCCATTGAGCTATATCCCCGGCCCCCAAATGGGCAGTTTAAAACAATATTTTTTGCCGGGTGTGGTGGCGCACACCTGTAATCCCAGCACTCAGGAGGCTGGGGCAGGAGGATCATGTGAGTTTGAGAGCAGCCTGGGCTACAAAGTGAGCTCAAGGCCAGCCTGAACTGCATAGTGAGACCTTGTCTCAAAAAAAAAAAAAGACAGTATTTTTCATTCGCACAGTTCCAGGTTAGGAATTGGAAGAGGCCTCAGTGAGGGGTTCTGGCTGAGGGTCTCTAATGAGTCTGCACAGTTAGATCGTGGTTAGAGCCTCAGTTATCTGAAGGCTAACCTGGGTTGTGGGTCTACTTCCCAGAACGTGCACTGATGTAGCAACTGGCAGGGGGCCTTGGGTTCTCACTGGTGGGCTCTGCATAGCAGATGTCTTCCCCCGCAGTAACGATGACAGATGCAGGGAAGGAAGCCATGTGCCTTTTATGAGCCGGTCCCTACGTGCAGTACTTTCCATGCTTTTCTCATCGTAAGCCCACATCAAGGAAGGGTGATTAGGCTTCCTCCCGAGGAGAATGTCAAAGACTGTGGGGACATCGCTTGAGCTGCTGGATCCGGCCTACCTCTGAGGACCCGTCTCTGAACTTCTAGACACACGAACTAGTTAACACCACTCATTGTTGAAACCAGCTTGGGCTGGGTTTCCTGACCCCTGCTCTTCAAAGGGCTCTGGCTAACCCCCAGTGCCTCATGGGAAGTACATTCATCTTCCTCATGTAACCCTCCAGACCTGCTGTGTCTCGCCGTCTTTTTTTTTTTTTTAAAGACAGGGTCTTGTTACATTTCCCAGGTTGTCCTAGAACACACAATCTCGCTCCCTCAAACTCTCCAGTACTGGGATTACAGGTGTGCCACCATGCTTGGCTCAGCATATCCTTTTAAATGAGAGGGTGAGAGTGTTTGTTTTTTGAGACAGGGTCTCACTGTGCAGTTCAGGCTGTCCTTGAACTCTTTATGTAGCCCAGGCTGGCCTTCAATTTGCAGTGATCCTCCTGCCTCAGCCCCCTGAGTGCTGGGATTACAGGTGTGTGCCACCATGCCCGGTGAGAGCGTGAGAGTGGAGCCCAGGTTTTAAGAAAAAAAAGATGGGTCCTTCTCAACCTTTGGTCCTTCATCTACAACAGAGCATAGCCCCTGTCCATGGCCACAGGAGACCCTGACTGTAGGAAACCACACTGCGCTGCTGGTGCAGGAAAATCACATTTACTCTTTCACCGGCTGAGACGGGATTTTTTCATCTGTCTTACCTGTAAAGGAAACTGAGAGATGAGCAACCTACCCTGGTCAGAACCAGCACGCAGCCAAAGTTTGTTCATGAACTCAAGTCTTTGGACGCCTAGGTCTTTCCCACCCACTCCTCCCCTTGAACTCTTGGTCTTTTTTTTTTTTTTTTGGTTTTTTTCTGGTACTCGGAAGCGAATTCACGACCTCGTGCTTGCCAGGCAGGCACTGTGCCGCTGAGCTAAATCCCCAGCCCTCCCCTTGGCCTCTTGATAATGCTAAGACGAGTGTTGTGTGATGGGAAACAGCGCGCTGCTTGGAGGCGTGCAGGCTGAGCTGGAATCCCGGCTCCAGCTGAGGACCGCTTGCTGCTGAGGGGCGCCTCGCTTTCCCTGTGGGCTGCAGCTTCCTGATCTGTAAAGGGAGATAATTATAGTAACCACCCACCAGGGCTGACAGGAGACAGAAAGATGATCACATGGAAAGTACTCAGCACAGAGTGACCAGAAAACACGCAGCAAATAACAACCGCGGCTGAGTCACAGGTGCTGACGGAGCTACCTGGGAAGGGAGACAGTGAGTCCTACCTGAGCAGTGAGGCGTGGGGGAAGACATTTTTATTTTGATGTATTTATTTTGGGCGGGAGGAGACATTTTTAGCGAGGGCACGTTTATGAGCACCCATTGTGTACCGCCGAGAGCTATCTAAACATAAGAAGTAGTTGTTTTCCTTAATCCCGGGGCAGGGACAGGGACAGGAAGTGGGCAGGCTGACCAGGGTAGCCAAACGTCCCAGAGTCATTGTTCCGCCCTTGGCGTACGTGAAGTCCTCGGGACAGGAGAGGCGGGGTGGAGGAAAGATAAAGCTCAGGCCCTTATCTAGACCTTTCCCTCCAAGCCAGAGCCCTCCAGGGAAAGAGAAACTTCTGGACTGTCACCGCTGAGTTCCAAGCATTCCAGAGGGCTCCGCGGGGAGGAAGTCTGTCACGGCCCAATCCAGCACCACGCCGGCCTCTGCTCTGGTCTCTCCGTCCAAGGCCTGGCCTGCCAAGAATTCCAGTGTCCAGCCAGCAGCCCAACCCTCCTGAGAGGAGCGCTGGAATTTGGACTCAGGGGTCCCAGACTTACTGTGGTTTGGTCCCGTCCCTTCTCCGGGCATGCAGCACTAGCTGCAGGGCACTGACATACGGGTACTTGGGTTCTGGAGCATGTGTACCAGAGTCCTGGGTTTGAGGGAGTGGTGGTCACAAAGCTGCTCCTCATTCCTTCCCGGGCTGCTGGGGAAACTGCTTCCTGCTTCCCTGCCACGCCCTCTCTGTTGCTGCTTGGCAGGGCTCCTGGCCAGGGATCTCGCATGCAAGTCACCGTATGATTTTGTGTTTCTGATTCATCTTGAATTTGCAGCTCGCTGAGGATGAGCAACACACCCTGTGCCCCAAGGACCTCCAGGGGCACTTGGGTTGGAGGGAACCCACAGCGTTCCCTTCTTCCCCCTTCTCCTCCCAGCTGCTTAAAGTTGATTTTGAAGTTTTTCTTTGAGGAGATGAAGTGAAAACAAATCTATAAATATGTTGTTTTTTTTTTTTAAAAGACAAGCAACTAAGGCTTGCTTACCCCTGAGTCTTCCCTAGGGCTTAGCAGTGTGCTCCGGCTGGGCGGGGCCGTTGGCCACCCTTGGGGGCCGTGAGGAACATGCATTCTGTCCCAGAGCCTGTTGGAAAGGGTTCTGGCCACACAGGCTGCAAACCCAGCTTGTGCTCCTCTGTCCGGGTGGCTTTGGGTAGGGCTCTCTTAAAGGTATCTCTGGCCTTTCCAAACATCTTCCATGCTGAGCGAGGTGGTACATGCCAGTAATCCCAGAACTCCAGAGGCTGAGGCAGGAAGATTGCTGCGAGTTCCAGGCCAACCTAGGCTACATAGTGAGTTCAAGGCCACCCTGAACTACATAGCAAGACTCTGTCTCCAAAATAACAAACAACAACAAAAAAGTGCTCCACGGAGGCTGCGTTTGCGGAGGACCCTCCTCAGTGATGGGGCCGGACAGGGTGATAGGCCAAGCAGCCTTCACTCCACCATTCAGAGCAGCTCTACTCCTAACAATTTTTACACATTGAGATTCCACCTGATGCCAGGTGTGGTGGCGCATGCCTGTAATCCCAGCACTTGGGAGGCTGAGGCAGGAAGATCGTTGCAAGTTTGAAGCCGGCCTGGGCTACAAAGTGAGCTCAAGGCCAGCCTGAACTGCACAGTGAGACCCTGTCTCAAAAAGACAAAAAAAAAAAAAAGAGAGACTGCCCCTGAGGTTTTTCTTTAATTGTTGTTTTAAAGCTTTGCTGAGGTGGCTGGGCATGGTCCCAGCACTGCGTGAAGCTGAGGCAGAAGGATCACAAATTGGAGCCCAGTCTGGCCAACTTAGTAACTTAGCGAGACCCTGTTCTCAAAGTTTTCAAAATATTTTTTTTCAAAATACACATTTGAAAAGGGCTGGAGTTGTAGCCCAGGACAAAGATCTTGTACTTGATCCCAGTACAAAATGAAGCAGAGAGGCTAGGGGTGTAGCTCAGTGCTACAGCACTTTCCTAGACTGCATCTAGCCCAGCATTAGATCCCCAGCAGGGCAGCAGAAACAACAAACAAACAAATAAATGAAAACCTCGGGGCTGGGGATTTAGCTCAGTGGCATAGTGCCTGCCTGGCAAGCACAAGGTCGTGAGTTCAATTCCTGGTACCGGGAGGGGGGGGGCGGGGGGACCGGGGAAACCCCTCAGTGGCCACCACCAGCCTTTCCCTCACATCCAAGTGGCCAGAACTGCCTAACCCTGGTGGCAAACCTATGGCTTGTGTTATTTTTCTCTTAAGGCAAAAAAGTGTTAATGTATGAGTTGTTTTTTCTAAACTAAAACCTCAGTATTCAGGTGTAATTGCACTGTTGGCCCTTTGCAATAAATAAGCGGGTTTTGGGAGACGCTGGGTCTCTAGAAGCTTCGTCATTACTGACAACAGATCCACCTCTGTGAGTGACGAGCTCCTGAAGGCCAGGGGTGCATGAGAGGAGGACGAACCACGGCCAGGTTTTTCTCCTCGGGAAGAAGAGGAGAAAAGAGGAGAAGAAACTTGCTCTAGGTCCCGCAGCTGGTCAGAGGCCGAGCTGAGCCCTCAGACGGGCGGACGCCTTGGCCCAGCCTCTTCTCCCTGACATCTCCGTTATCCTCGCTCCATGGAAAGGAAAACCGAGGCTCCTACTTTGGGCCCCGGGAGCCTCCTCAGCCAGGACCCCTGCCGCTCAGGAGTCTGTGTGGGATAACAGTATTGGTCATCCCTAGGTTGACAGTTCCGTGTGCCAGCTATCTATTGTCAGCTGTGCGGTAAGGTGCTCCTATCAGATCCCCATTTTACAGAGGGACACATGGGAGCACAGACAGAATAAGCAGCTTGCCTGAGGCCATGCAGCTGGAGTGGCGGGGTGGCACGGTATTTGAACCTTGCCTGGTGTTCCAGGGCCAGACCCTGCCCAGGGGTCAGTGGGGAGGCCCAGGACAGTTGAGGCAGCTCCAGGGCCAAAGAGGAAGAGAGAGCAGTAACAGGAGGAGGCCAGGTGGCCCAGAATGGGCCGGGGCCAGGCCAGCTGGCAGGCCAGCCCAGCCTGCAACCTGAGCCGGGAGCCACTGCCACGCACCCACCTCGCCTCTCAGGTTCCAGGTCTCCTGCCCCGTCCCCTGCAGGAGCGCAAAGTCCAGATCCATCCACGCTGGATGGGCAATGAGTGCTCACAGGGCAGCTCAGCAAACCACAGGTGCCTCTCTTTCACCCAGAGGCACCTCCAGGAATTTTTGGTTCAAGGCCCCATTTTTCAGATGGGAAAACAGAGGCCAGCTACGCATAGAGGATTTTGTTTGGCTTTGCCTGTTTCATTCACTGCCCTGTCTCACTGCTTACAACAATACTAGGCACATAGTAGATACTCAATAAACACTTGTAGGAGTCGAACGTGGTGGCTCACACCTATAATCCCAGCATTTGAGAGGCTGAGACAGGAGGAGCCTTGTGAGTTCAAGGCCAACCTGGGCTATGAAGTGAGTTCAAGGGCAGCCTGAACCACATAGTGAGACCCTGGCTCAAAAAAAAAAAAAAAAAAAAAGACAATAAACACTTGTAGGATGACTGACTCACTGAATGAATATGGTTTTTAGCATGGCACAGCGGGTGAAGACTCATGCGACACAAAGCCTGCTGTCAGAACAGAGCCTGTTCTCCAGCACCTTCTGGTAATGGGGGAGAGCAGCCATTAGAGAAACGTGGGCTGCCTACGGGTAAAGTTACGCCCTCACACAGAAAACAGTGTCTCACGGGTAGACAGTTCAAATCCATTTCCCTCAACATCGAAATGTGCCCATATGGGTACACACACACACACACATACACACACACACACACACACATACACACGGGTCTCACTTTAGTTACTGAGCCAGCTCTGGCATAATTCACCAAAGAGGATGCAGGATCATTGTGCAACCCAAGGGAAGGAAACTCAGAAGCACAGAAAAAAAAAAAAAAAAAAATTAAAATGACGTTGCCTGGCATCGCTGTTGTCCCTCGGGGCTTCCTACCCACTTTGTTTTGTTCCGTTTTTGTTTCCTGTGACAGGGTCTTGCTATGTAGCCCAGGATGGCCTCGAACTTGCTGTGATCCTCCTGCCTCAGCCTCCAGAGTGCTGGCATTACAGGCGTGCGCCACTATCCCCAGCTGCCTGCTCACTTTCTTCCTCCCCCAGCTCAGCTTTCTTGGGGCTCCCGGCTGTATCAGGAGGGCCAGCTTTATGGGTGCTCCTGGTTCAGACACCCAATGGGAGTGACCTGATTGCTGGGAGCTGCTGTTGTCCAGGGCCACCGCCCAATACCCAGCCTCTGAGAGCAGGTGTGGGTGGGTGGGAAGAAGAATCCCTTCCGCAGCTCCGTATTCCCAGACGAGAAGTGCTGAGTCTCTCCCATGGTTGAGTGCCTACAACCTACACAAGCACAACACCGCCCATTGTCCCCCATTACTCATTGTTTCAGAGCTCTTATGTCATCCTTTCTTCTTCTGAACCAGCTCATTTGCTCTCGTCTGTGGCCGCAGCGGTTACACAAGTTTCAGCCAGGGCTACCCGACACCTCCCTCCTTACACTTCTTGCGCTAGCAAGTACTTTTATACACTGTACAGCCAAACCCCTAAGAAAGAGGATCTTATTGGTTGTCCCACTCGCCAACTTGTTAGAGCCGTCCCTATTGGCTATAGCATTCACATCATCTCCCCATTGGTTGACAGCAAACCTATAGCATGGCTTTCTGAAGATCATGCCCATCCTTGGGTAGCAGTGGTGGGAGCCATTTTTTTTTTTTTTTGCTTTGGTTTTTCCAAATGTTTTCTTTGCTTACCCTGCTTTTTCTCTGAGTCTGGGCCAGTTCCCACTGCTCCGGTCTCGTTCTTTTTCCATTGTTTACTCGCGGTTAATCCTTCTCCTTCCTTCCATTTCTTTAGTTTTCTTCCCGCTGGTTCCTGATGTTGGATGCAGTTCTGCTAATTTCAAGTGATGGCCACCCGTATCTCTTCAGGCAGATGTCTTCCCCTTGTTGAGTCCCTGTTTCCCCATGAGTATATCGGGGCTGCTAATTCCCACCTCACTGGGTTATAAAGGAGGCAGTGATGTGCGAGCTCCTGCTCCAGAGCAAGCACTAAACATCAGTGCCTGCCCCTCTTTGTGGCTTCAGACCTGACTTAAATTTTAGCTACCGAAAGGCTAGAGAGGGACAGTGGCGCTGGGAGAGAGAAGAGCCTTGAGCCTAAGGCTCAGTTGGGCACTAACTTGCCCAACCTTCAGCAAGTCTTCCCCTCTCCAGAAGTGTTTTTTCCATTTGTCACATGAGGGTTGGACTAGAGGGGCGTTTCCCAAACTGGAAAACAGGGGGTAATAATGAGAAAGAGAATGTGAAAGAAGGGATGGGAGAGACAGAGAGGATATGAATCTTTGGCTAATATTCTGGGAAAAGCCACATAACACCTACTCAATATTAAAGACTCTAAGATTGTGCTGTCCGGTATGTAGCCTCTGGCTATAAGTAAAGATAATTTCTTTACTTATTTGTTTTTTAACACAGGGTCTCAGGCTGGCCTTGAATCTGTGATCCTCCTGCCTTAGCCTCTCAAGTGCTGGGACTACAGGCATGCACCACTCTATCCATCTCACCTGTTACTACTTCAGTTAAAATTAAATAAAATTCAATTCCTTTCCCAGCACTCAGGAGGCTGAGGCAGGAGGATTGCTCTGAGTTCAAGGCCAGCCTGAATTGCATAGCAAAACCCTGACTCAAAAAGACAGGGAAAAAATACTTTCCATTTTCTTGGTTTCATTAGCCATATTTCCGCTACTTGGTAGACATGTGTTGCCAATGGTTACGGTGTTGTTCAGAGCTGATCAGAATGTTCCCTTTATCACAGAGAGCCCTACTTGGTGGTGCCACAGGCCAAGGAGCCCTTTTTTGACTTTTATTCCAGTATTTCCCAAGCACAGGTGATCCACATACCTCCCCGGGACATCTCTGACCAGCATAAGAAATAATCTGCTCCCGGGAGCGTGGCCTGGAAAGCAGTGCCCTGGGGGAATCTTGAGACCTTTCCCACCCAAAGAACAGAGAGAGGACTCATCCTAGCAGCAGGATTTCTCCAGGGGAAGGAGTTGCCTGTGTTCAGCAGGAGGCCTTTGGCTAAATGGACATTATAATCGTGGGAGAAGAGACCCTTCTCCCACATGTGTGGCTGGCATGTGCTGGGAAGAGGGCAGAGAACTTAAATTGTTTGGGGTCATAAAAGAAATGGGACTTTTTTTTTTTAATTTTTTTAAAGGCAGGATCTCTCTA